CAAAAAACTGCAAGCGCTTGGTCCTTTTAATTTGTTGTCTACTTTGTGTCCATTTGATCATGGCTCACACTTGGGACGAAGGATGCTAACTTCAACTTTTGGAGTCAATTTTGCTATTGGTATTAAAGTATGTTCCAGTTTGTTCCATACGAATCTTAAAATTATAGCCAAGTCAACTCTCATAGAGTACAGCTGGAAAAATATTAATAGTGGTTACTTTAGGAGTATTTTTCAAAGGCTTATTACTTTGTAGTTTAATATTATTTTCTCTACAGTAATTATTTTCAAATGTAATTTATGCTTGTTTCAGGAATGTTTTTAGATAATCCCTTTGTTTTTTTCTTTTGTAAGTTAAAATGTGTGTGAGAGATAATAATATGGTTGAGAACTTGAAACAACTATTGCGAGTAACAGAGCTGTACATCTGTTTACGAGCACAGGCAAGTATTTAACAGAGGCTATCATGTGAATCATTTATTTACGTATTTTGGCTGAAGTGAGACTCCAAGCCTTACAAGAGTTACTATCAAGGGGAAATAGAAGGAGATGGGATTAAGAGTCGAACCAAGGCTATCACGTTTATTGCGTTCTTATCAAGGATTTGGTACCTTTTCAGTGGATTCTTTCTTCATTTTTCATAGTATACATTTGGATGCATGATATATATATATATTTTTTTTCATTTACTAGAAGGAATATGATCGTTTTAAATTTGACTAATCCCAACCTTGTTAGTAAATGAAGATACATATTATGTATCTAAATATGTATCGTGAGAAATGGAAAGGGAACAACTGCAGAGGAGCCAAGTTCACAACTGAGTTGGTTTTGGGGATATTTACGTTTTTTTCTTTAAGGGAGAAAGGGTTGTTCACCTAGCCAATATCCAAACTAGATGAGTTGGCTCTTGAGATGACATGAAATTTCTTTCTCTCAAATAAATGTGCATATAAAATCTAATATTTGGTAGGGAATCAAGTCACCATGAGCTCCCTATTTAAGCTCTTACACTCTTCCCTTCCTCCTTCAAAAAAAGAAAACTCTTCCCTTTCCTGCCTGTCAGATAGATGCCCAGCCACTTCCGTTCGGGCCTGTTAACAACAAATTGGAAGAAACAGCCCACTGTTTTCCTTGTCAACCTAATGAGAAACTGCATCCTTGTCCGGAGCTTTTAAGAGTCCATCAGTCGAGTTTGGATTTGCGGATTAGAGATTTATGGTGCGTGATTTTTTTTTTTTTTTCTCGGTAAGTGGGTGATTTATGGTGCGTTGATAAAATAAAATTTAAAATTTTAATTCATTAAAATTTTTTGCTTCTATGTTATTTTGACTCTATAAAATAATAAATCTTACATTTATCTAAAGTGATAAGTAAATAGCTTATTACTTATTTTTTTAAATATATTTTGCATAGAGAATTCAGAGTCATTTAATTGATTCAGACGTTTTATATTTTCTTATCAAATACATTTGAATATTTAAGATTTGAATCCATTAAATTTAAATATTGAATTTAGTTCTCAAACAATGTCCTAGATGCCAATGTTTAATAGTTACTTTTAGATATTTGCTTCGATGACAGCAAGAATATTTCTCATTCAACTCTCAAACTCATTTTTTTTTATATTTGCATTACAATAGAGTGTAAAAATTTGATTCGAAACCTATCTCTCTTGACCAAAACTTCTTATTGGAATGGAAATTAACATCTTGCTAAAAATATAAGCATCATCACATGATCCATTGCTTTCGTATACAATATCATTTCCAAAAAAGAAAGCATAAGAAGAAGAAAACAAAATATCACATGTCAATGCTTCTCAACTTATTTTGTGTTGAACAATAACTTCAACACTACAATATTCATATTAGCCAAGAAAGAAAGCGTAACAATGCAAGATTTTTACTCTTGGTTGCTAGCAAATAAATGAAGTAAATTGCATCAAAGGGAGTATATCATTAATCTTGCAATTGGCCCAAGAGTATTAACATGGTGGCGCGTCTGGAGGTGGAGGAAGCATTTGTTGTCCTGGAAGCTTGCCATTTTTGGTAAGGAAGGCCTATCCATTCCCAGGTTAGATGACGCTCAAGGTGGCAGTGCAACAGCCAGACTCCTGCGAAAACACGCATGACCTTATGAATAATAACATTCCTGTATGCTGTTTACTAGTAATTAAAGACTTTGAAGAGGCTCCATATACAAGACTTTGCAGCACTAAGATTTAAACTAAAATAGAAGTCAACATCTTCCATAAATTTAAAAGTTGTAACAGCAAGAAATTAAAGATCACTAGTAATTTATGGAAAACTGTATGCTGTTTACTAAAAACTTAAAGCACAATTATTACTTATAAGCAGGCATTAGAATTCTATGATTCGGGGGCTTAGTATTTCATAGTTCAAAGCTTCAATAGTTCTAACAACACATATCTCAATTTCTTAAGTTTGAAAGTTCTGTAAGTATTTCATTGCATTTCCAATACTAATTATGTTTTCTATACTTCTATTAGAGAACAAAATTAAATTGTGCTAGCTATGAAAGTCCAAATTTGTCGGCCATGAAAAAGTTAAAGCTGTCTTGGGTCAGCGCCTTTACGGGCTTTCCTATCTTTTTTGTCTTTGATAACAGAAAACTCAAAGAAAAGAAGTAACACGTACCAGGGTTATTTGCCTTGAATCTAATGGCGGTCCAACCATTTTTAGGAACAGCAATTGTGTTCATCAGAGGAGGGTCGACAAGATTATACTTTAAAGGGTCTTTTTCCTTGTCATGGTTTCAATACCTGCACCAACTACATAGAAACTATGTCCATGTAAATGCATGGGATGATCTATTCCAGCAACCAAATTTGTTCCCTGGAACACAAGCTCCACACTGTTATTATATTCAAGAACCCTAACTCTAGTATCCCGGGTTGGATTTAGCAACGTTGCCGGAAGACTATCTGCAGTGAAATTGAATACGAAAGGTGGAAATCTGGGAAAATTTTTTCTAAAGACTCCTCTTAGGCTATAATAGTAAGCATGGAGTATATCAAACTGAGGTGAAACAAAACTTATGTTGTTTATGCTCGTTGCAAGTCGCTGCCGAGGTCCAGCACAAGTGTTGTTTGCCTCACAAGGGCGTAAATTCACAGATAGTGTGAAGTAAAGCTTAGTGTCCACGTGTGTTGGAACATCAACTTTTCTTGCCAAGCTTCTTAGGCTCCACGTGAAATTAGTTGATGCTTTTGTATCATTAGACATTGGAAGGTTTGGGAAGACTGGTGGCGAAGACGGAGTATAATTTCCTATGTATTCTATGATAGCTGTGGTGGTGGTGTTGTCGGTTGTACTGTCATAAGCCTTAGCGGCCATGTAATAGTGACCAGGTTTTTGGTCGGCTTCTAGCAAGCAGTCAATGGTTTGGCCAGGGGATATGGCAACGTAGTCTGTTTTCAGTGGCCTCGTGTAGCTGCCATCTGATCCGACAACAGTGATTTTATGATTTGCTATGGAAACGAATAGGATGCTGTTCATGGCGGCATTGACCATTCGGAGCATGTAAGTTTTGCCATATTCCACTGCCAGCTTAAATGTGTCTGCAAGAATTTGTAAATATATAATTAAGATTTAGCGAATGAAACCAGTTGTATCATCGTGAAGAATTTGGTTGAAGTAGAACATTGATGTGAGGAGAGGATCATGAATTATAACAAGAACACGCAGTACAGTAGGAAGGAGTACGACGACCTAAAATAATTGCGGAGAATGATGAAGCAGAATGATGCAAAATAATGCGTGTAATTTGAGCAAAATAATTGTGATAGATACCTAAGGAGAAAAATAATAATGATTCTGAACAGTAGTTAAACAGTGACTATGAACAGGAATGTGATTATAAAAGCATCATCCGTACAAGGCGAAAGCGAAATATATTAGAGCTAGCAACTTTTAACAGTATTGACAATACGAACCGATCTATTAATTAGTTTTACTGCAAAAAATTGGAAGTCTACTCTACTTTCGCGTAGAAAAATTGTTCTACTTTGTCGGTTCCAAAATTCCACAAATCTGGACGGCAGAGCTACATGTGTGTGTGTGTGTGTGTGTGACTTTTTATTTGCATTATTTGGCCAACATGGGAAGTAGATTCGGATGAAAGATGTGTGTCGGCCAAAAATTGGATATTCCTAAGTACTCTAACCTCATCCTCACTAATACACAAAATAAGAGAAATTCCTAAAATTTCGTGGCCACATACCTGGTTTTGAGCATGGATACAGATCACCAGGCTGACCATTTATCAAGAAAGCATCAGAATTGTTTGGGAATCCTCCATTACTTTTGAATTCGGTAAGAACCGCCTGTACATCACTCTTCCACCATTCTCCTGCAAGAAAACATCATCAAACTTAAACCTATAAATTGTTTTCTGACTTATTCATGTCAACGTACGCGCAAAAATATCGTAGCATTTGAGTATTATAACCACAAAACAAGAAGCAGACATTATATACCAAAGGTGATGGGCACTTCTGCATAAGGCCTAGGAAATGGATATGTGTCGCCTCTCTTGGGGTAAACACGGATCGCACCATGAACGGTTGCTCGAGACCAGTCACTATGAGCATGCCACACATAGTTCCAATCTCATCAGAAAGCCTAATCTTTTGGCTAAAGGATTTTCCAGGCATGATGGGGCACTGAGTTATGTACGCGGGACATCTGACCATGGATACATCGGCTGTTTCACTCCATGCCTATATATATATTTTTTTTATAATATACAACAAAAAAATAGTGATGCATTTTAGACTAGATCCTTGTGGAAAGAAGAAGAATTTTTGGCTGGGTATGTACCAGTGAATGGTGATGTTTTGGGTCCCTTTGTTATGGACGCGGATGATGGTGGTATCCCCTTCACGGATGTGAACAGTTGGTCCTGGAAATAGGCCATTTACTGTTAAAATGTTCTTAGTGCTGCAAAGTCGTGTATATGGAGCTTCTTTTATCTGCACGAGTGAGGTAAGTGGTATAAGTTGTGCTTCTATAAACATAATTGACAAAGCTTGAAACCTGACTACATGTAACTTTTCATAAAGGGGATATATCATACAAATGAATATTTAATTAACTTGGGTACGTAGTTTGTATCTCAATATCGAAGAAGGAGAAGTAGTTAATAGTGCATAAATTCAAGGGTGCTACTAGACCATGCTTGGGAATGAATAGAACTGAAATTGAAATCATTGCAAATCTAGCTTTCCAAATCAAAGTCTCTAAAAAACAAAAAAAAAAAAAAAAGTGAGAAATTGAGAAGCTACACCAATGGAAAGAATTGACCGGAAAATTGTTATGATGCCAAAAAAGAAAAAAAAATTTGGTAATCATTAGCACAATCATGCATGAGATCACTTAATTAGTGATAATTATGGATGAGATAACCTTAAATTATACTTAGGGTATGTTTGGTTTCCCATGGAATTGAGATTTAGAATTGGAATTGGGGCCCCAATTCCAAATCTGTTGTTTGGATATTGCTTCGGTCAAAGAATTAGAATTGAATCTGAATTCTATAGGGTCCAATTCCATGATTTGAATTCTTTATTGGACCAAAAGAATTCTAATTCCAATTCCACAACTAAACCCTGCGAAACGGGTCTACACGCGGATCTTGTGGGTAAAAAATTAAAATCGGGTCAACTAGGTAAGCAGCTTCAGCCTCTGCTTCACTGACTCTTCTTCTTCCTCCTTCGGATTCCTCAAAACCCATTTCCCTTTTCCCCACTCCAACCCATCGATGGATTTCCAACGGCTTTTTCAAAATTGTCACCTGCGCTGCTCCGAAGCATGGCATTCACTCCACTGAAGCAATTGAAACTACTATCGGGTATCAAGTTGCTATCTTTATCTTTTGCCTTTCTAGAAAATCCAGATTGCTTTTTAGTGCACCTTGGACGAGTTTATTGCGGTTTCATTTTTTGTTCTCTCGGTTGCTGTTTTTTTTTTTTTATTTGTTTTGCCATTTGTAGTGATTTTTATTGTTTGAGGTTTTTGATGGATGGCGTTAGGTGGGTTTTGTTTCTGGTTAAAGTGGAGGATATTTGGGCGGTTGGTTGTTGAATGTACTGAGTGAAGCTGCTGATCGTTGCATCGTGGATACTTTACTGAATGTTTTGAAATTTCATCCTTTGATCTGTGATAGGGACTGTGATCACAAAGCAACCTAGGCTGGCTTATGGTTTGGATTTCCGTTCATGCCATTTGTAGTGAAGCACCTTTCTTGCCTTTATTTCTGTGTTATCCACAATAATCTGCACTGTCGCTCTAGTATGTTTTTCACTGCATTCCACATCTTCCACCATTGGTACTCTTGGTGATAGTGTACTTATGTCCAGAGTACCCATTGATCAGAGAGCACTCTGCAGAAATCATCTAATTCCTGCATCTTCGGACAGCTATTGCTGCTAGAGAAAAAGGGATTGACAAAAGGGGCTCTACTGAAGGTTCTTTTCTTGTTTCGGATAGCTTGTTTATATATCTTTCTTTCTTTCAGCAGTAGGAGATACATACAGCTCCTATTTTCTGTCTTCTTGTGTTCTCGATTTCTTGCAATATTTGTTTTTTGGGTATCACTTCAGTTAATCTCGATGATAGAATAAGAGAATAGGAAAATGATTATTGTTGGACTTTCTGCGGTTGAAAGTGCCATTGCATTGATTAAGGACAAAGCTAAAGTTGTAGAGTCTTGATAAAGCTCCATCAAGTTAATACGTATTATTGAGTAGTGGATAAACTTTGACTAATGGGACCAACTCATTGACGTCTTGATCAACGAGCAGGGCCTAATTTTCAGCCTTTTTCTTCTGTTTGGTATATATAATCCAATCCCTACTTTTAATCTCTGTTTACCATAGTGCAGTAGAGCTTATTAAAGCATATGATTAAAAATTCAAGTACGGACATCCTTTTCTTATGCATTATTTTGCATGGAACTTGGCATGATTTGGATATTTGCAGTGATAGGTATAGCTGTAATTTTTGTTTGAGAGTTTTCCAATAGCTAATTTGGTCTTTTGAATTAATAGCTAGTTTGGCATGATTTGGTCTTTTGACTTACCTTTTCTTATTGTTGTCATGATTTTGAATTGCAGAATTTTGGATATTGACATGGATAAAGAAGGAGGCGAGCAAAAAGCAAAAAGAGAAAAGTGGTAGTTGCAAATTATATGGTAACAATAGCTACATTAGTAGTTTGGTGGCATGAGAAACATATAGTAAAGGAGCCTTACTTGGACTTTAAAGTAGCACGTGAAATATATCTAAGGCGTCTTTACTATGGAAACAATAGAGTTTGTGTAGAGCAACTTAGACTCAATAAACATTGTTTTACTGTTTTATGTACAAATTTAAAGAGCATTGTGGGTTGACGGATACTAGAAATATTACTGTTGAAGAGGCAGTTGCAATGTTTCTCTATGTTCTTGCTCATAATTTTTTTAAGTTAGAATATACAATTATTTTTTATTTAATATAATTTAATTTTTTTAAAAAAAAAGAATTTTTTTATTTTTGCAAAAAGGAACTAATTTTTTTCTTTAAAGCTTTATTAACAATTAGTTAAATGCAAGAAAAAATAAATTATTAAAGGTACTAATTGGTTTTTCCTTAAAGCTTTAGTAACAATTAGCTAAATGTTAAAAAATTATTATATAGTAAAAAAAAAGAAATTTTTTACGTAAGGAAATATTAGTTGGAAACAATTCTAATTCCTAATGAATTCTTCTCTCATACAAACAAAGAATTTGGAATTTCAAATAAATTCCGTATCAATTCTATGCATTTCCCAAACGAAAGAATTGAAATGACTTGGAATTCCAATTCATAGAATTCCAATTCTATAGAATTTCAATTCTAATTCAATTCTAATTCTGTAGAACCAAACGTAGCCTTACTATAAATGTATAGCGATGCATCATGGCTTGGCTAGGTAGAACATGACTAGACAAGAGCAGAAACACAGCCCAAGTGAAGATGAAACCTTTCATGATTGACCACCCCCACTTAGTCACATAGAAATGGAGTGCGTATGATTCTATTTCACGTTTTGTAATGAAAAATTGCTTCCCTATTTGCACAAACCCTTAGAGTATTTATAAAGTTTGGCTATTGAGAGGACAACACATCCAGGTAATTTTCATCCACAAGCACGAAGACATTAGTTAGAGGATCACTTCTTCCTTTCATAATACGCGTAAGCAACAGGTCTTGTCAATGTCTTATGTCTTCAAAGTTGCTTTATCGGTTGAGATCATTAAATATTTGAGGTACGTGAGTGAACGCGAGCCTCTCCTTGAATTTTCTTCTTTCATTTGCATGGCCTGCGAGTGTGATGGAGAATTTGAAATTGACAATCGCGAGGCTATGATATTTTTATTCTTTTTTCTTTTGCTCTTTGCTTTCACGTTTTAATAATTGAGGTTGAGATTTCAATACTTACTAGTTCCGGATTCTAGTTTTCCTTCCTCCTATCTGATTTTTAAATCCCACTCCTCTTCTAGTAGAAAAAATTTTAAAAATCGATTTTCTCAACGTAAAATAAGCCTCACGCCACTCCACATGTAGTCTTGTTTGGATTACCATTTTTTCTAAAAAAAAAATTTACGTTTTTTATGAACGTATTTTCAATTAATTTTTTACTTTATATACATCAAATCGTTACTGTACAATTTTCTATAAAAATCCCAAAAAAATAGAAATCCAAGATTTACATTTTATCCTCATTATTGTTTATTTTGAAAATTTTGCATTTATTTGCCTACGTAATGCTTATAGAGACTGTTAGTCAACTTGGACAAAAGTCAAGGAATCCAGTGTCCCGTCGGTGGACGAGTAAATCACCTCTAAATATAGATTACTTCTAGCCGCTAAATGTATTTGGATGTGATTAAGTTACGGACCTAATATAATTTGTTATCTCTATATTTTAGCCATATCCCCCCTTATTTTGTAGATAGTTTCGAAAACCAAGTCCTCCTCCTATTTCCATTTTCACTAAGAACATAAGGTACTAGATAGTGCATAACATGTTGAGGTCATTAGAGACGACTAAGTATGGGGTAAAAATGTTAAATAAAAGTTTTGAATGTTCAAAGATATCAACGAAGAAATTAGGGTTGCGTTTGGATTGCATTTTTCATGGATTTTTCGTTGAAAAATTACTGTAGCGATTTGATGTATGTGAGGTAAAAAAATGATAGGGAAATGTGTTCACGGAAAACAAGACCATTTTTCGGTGAAAAATGACTATCAAGCAACAAGGCCTAATACCAACATAAAGGGGAAGATTGGGTGCTCAAAATTGTAATAAAAGGAAAAGTCAAACCGGTAGAGGATCTTTGAAAGATTGTGTATTTCTTGTTTAGAATGGCCGAATTGATATCCTGAATGAAAATTTTTCGAGGTTTCGTGTTATAACCAAAAAAAAAAAAAGAAAAAGTTGAACCCCGTTGGGAAGGGCGATTAGAAACTTGCCCTTGTTCTTCCCCAAAAGAAGATAGAGAAGCCAGTCATACGAATACCAGTCCAAATTGCTGGCAGTACGATTCCGGCAACCGACAAGAAGACTCCCAGCTAATGCTACCGAATTTGTTTCAGCTGCCGTCATAGCACAATCAAAGAGGAAATGAAATATCTGGTAGTACTTGGAGATGGGCAGACCAACAACTAAAATTGGACACTTGCTCCTCATTATTGAGGAAAGGAAACATTTGCGTGCTGTCACTTTAAGAAAGTTTCCACCAGACGAATCATATTTAATTCATGCATGCATGGAAAATTGAGTCCTGCTCTAGGTAACTTGATTGTTGACATTTAGTATGAAGGAGTGAACCATTGCATCGAGCCCAGAAAGGGTTTACATCATCTTTTGAAGTCTCGTCTTCCATTTGGCAACCTGCGGCTGCGGATCGATGAATGGCGGTTTCCAATCCCGCACGCAGTAAATTTCTTGGTGGCCTAACAACCGAGCTGAAATTCCTATAATCAGAAAGTCCACTATGGCTCCCCGAATTCTTATCTATAATCGTACAGGGGCAATGAGTTACTTGTGCAACAAAAACAAGTAATGTCCATTGATAATATCTTCAAGCTGAAAGTGGTCCTGGCTGCAAATTAAAAGCAGTTGTCTTTTGGTGAAAAATGCAATTGACTTGTACTGTCGTCACATTGTTGGATCCTAGTCATATTTATATTAAGGATAAATTACTTTTTATCACCTTCCAGTTTGGTGCTTTGCCACATAAGTCCCCTATAGTTTAAAAACATATAAATAACCTCGTCATGGTTTGGTTTAAAGGGTCACCGTTAGTTTTAAATCAACAGTAAAAAATCAAAATCAAAATTGACAAATTTAATTACTTCTTTTAAATTGACAAAAAAAAAAAACTTTGTACCATTAATGGAATCTAAATCGACTTGATATCATTAAATTAATCATGCATAATTAACTAGATGAAATTAGTCAGCCATAAATGGACAGTACATATTACTAATTTGTTTCAAGCATAAGTGCTCTTACGGCAATAGTAAAAAACTAGTAACTAAGTCGCCAACAATTCCGGTTAAGGATGGCTGTCCTAGGACAAATTGGACAACTTTCATATAAATGTAATTCTTTTCGGAGACTCCAGCAAGAGAAAAAGAGTTAGATTCAAATAAAAAACCTCACAGTAATATGTTTAGTATTTATACTAGCTAAGCTGGGTGTTGGAGGGACATACATGAACATAAATTTAGGATTAAACGACATACAATTAAGTCCATTTTTAAGATGTCCTTTAACATTCAATGGACAAATGGGTCAGGGCATTGTCACAAAATAGCTCAAAAACTTGGGCTCGTCGAGTTTGTCTTTAGAAATGGGTCGGATGGTTTGGTGATGGATCTCTACTTTCCTTGTAGCCAGAAAGGAGACAATAATGTTGAACGCCGAACCTTCTTGAAATTTAAGCGTGTCCAATCTAAAGTACGGACCAGACCCATTTCAACTACACGGACAACATTAGACGAGATTGGGTTGGGTGTGTAAATGAAAAGATATCATAAAATTTTGTATTATTTTTAGGGTTATTATCACTTTACCCCCTTTAACTATATCACTACTATCAGTTTACCCTCTAACGTTATCTTTTAGTCACTTCACTCTCATAAGTAATTCAACTTAACATGTTAAGAAATTTTGAACAAAAATACTCTTTTATTCTATAGCATTAACACAATGGTATTATTACTTTATTCCTTTAAATTACAGTGATATGATTGATTTAATTCCTAACATTATTTTCTAAGCATTTCATTTTATCGTTAATTTAACTAGTATGGTAAAAAAAGAATTGAGATCTCTCTCTCTCTATCTTTCTCTCCTCCTCTCTCGATCTTTCTATTTTTTTAATATTAATAAGATTGCCAAGAAGAAAGAGATTAATACTGTGACTTTTTTTTTCTTAATATTAAAGAGGAGAAGAGCCACTCTAAAATTTTTATTATTTTTATTATACAAATAGAAGGATACTTTCTTCTAAAATTTTTTAACTTACTAAATTGGTTTAATGATGGGATAAAATTTCTAAAAAATAACTATATGGGGTCAATTAATAATAAAGCTAAAGTTTATGGGGGTAAAGTGATAATAATTTTAAGAGCTAAATTTGTCTTTTTAATTTATTTAACAAATTCTGTTAAATTTTACAGTTAGTTTGGGGATAAAGTGACTAAAAGATAACGTTAAGAGGAAAATTGATAGTGGTATCGAAGGTTAAGGGGGTAAAGTGATAATAACTCTTATTTTTAATGTTATTTGCACTCTATATTTTATTATTTATACTTCCACCATTTGATATATTATATAGTTTATAAATGAAAATCATATAATAAAAATGATAATGAAAATGCAAATAACAAAAAATAGAGTATAAATAACTTTTCCTTTTTATTTGTAACATTGTTATATACGAAATAGAAAGCTGATTGAAAGAAATAAAATTTATGTATTTAAAGAAATTTTTTGTATTTTACTTAAAATTTTCTTCTAGTAGAGTAGGGTAGAATTTAAGAAATGGGAAGGGAATTGATATCCAGAAACCTTTCAATACAAAACATGTTTGCAATACAAGCAAAATAATAATTGGAATAATTTTGATATATATGAGATAAAAGATGATTGAAACATAAAAAGTTAATTTAAAATATATGTTTGTAATATTAGCAACATAATATTTGCAACAATTTTGGTGTCCAACACACTCAATATTACAGAAACTGCAAAATCCCAGCGTCATTCATCGTAGGGGTGGCAATCAGGTCCAAATCAGGTTGCCGGGTCAGGTTGAGACCCATGTATAACAGAAAATCGCTGACCCGAACCTGACTCGACAATCCGAAACGGGTCAGGATACCTGCCATAAACCCGAAAATTTCAGGTTGGTGGGTCAACCAAAATGACCGAAATTTAATTTTAATTTATTAATTTACCATTGTAATTTCTAATAAAACCAATTTCGCACAAAACTAATTACATAATCAAGTAATAAATTTTTAAATAAATAATCCCAAACCAAATCTAAAATAAATTAAACACCATAAAAGTATTTTATTCCAAACCAAATATAGAGATAAATTAAAACAGTATAAAAGTAAAAAATAATATAATACATTATTTATCCAAATATAATAATTTCAACTTCACACAAGTTAAATAAATTCATTTAGAATTAAGTGATTAATGCATTTGAAAAAAAAAAAATAACTTAGTTTAGTTAGATAAAATAATTATTATATTTATTAAATTATTTTTAATTTGTAAACGGGTCATACCGAGTCACATACGGATTGACCTGAATCGGCCCGTTTTCTTTTCGGGTTCTTCGGGGTTCCACCCAAATCTGACTCGAACTCGCGAAATTTTCAACCCAAATCCATTAATTTCGTGTAAGGTTTGTATCATGCTTTCAGGTCGTGTCGAAAATTACCACCCCTAATTCATCGCTGCCCAGTGCCTTCTCACCCCTAAAGCCAATCCCCCCATCTCCTCCTTTTCCCTAATTTCTAGCCACCTCAACGGCCTTTCTCCTCCATTTTACAGGGTTGTCGAAAAATCCACAAACTATAGCCAAAAGAGGTAATACCAGCGCTTCTTGTTTTTTGCACAAAAAAAAATCTTTTTTTTAAACAAAATCCTTTCTTTTTTTAAGTTAAATTAGCTCAACAGGTAAAATTCAGATTCACAAAGGCAATGTTGTTTGTTCAATTAATTTTATTGGAGTCTGCGGATATTATTTTCTCATGGAATGAAATAATTTGGACACATTTTAATATTTCAGTATCATTTGGGACAAACTTTTGGTCTTCTTTCCTAAACTCTTTCTCATTGAACTACAAAAATACCAAAATTGTTCTAAAGACAAGGTGTGGGTAAAGGGACATTTGAGCAAAAGCAGGGAGGTTTAAGGTAAATAATCCCATAGTTGGCTGAGTTCTAGGTTTTGCTTTGGCTTAAAACCATCCTTCAAAATTTGTCCAGGTCGTCTCCGTAATTCTTATTGCACATGTTGCTGATACTCCACACTATTCAGTCTTGGCAGCTTATCTAGCAGAAGCAGCAAAGGAAAATATTTGAGGAAGAAGATAGAAAGAAAAAGATGCATTGTATTCAGCACAATCCTTCTACCACATCACTTTCTTCCTCTGCTTCATCTATACATGGCCAGAATAAATTTAGCGATATCAGGTGTGCTTTCTTACCCTCTTTGGTTTGTTTATGGTTCCTCATGAAAGATAAGAAATTGAAAAAGGATGAACTTCTTTTTTCTTTTTAGTTTCCCTAAGTCTGGAGTTAAGCTATATGGGTTTGTGGAGTAATTTGGGAAATTGTATTGCAGGACTCAGAGCATTTCAGTTCGGGGAGAGATGGTGGTAGGAGTATGATTAAGTGCATTGCAACTTCTTCATCTGAGAAAAACTGGTATTATTAATGCCTATGCCTCTTTTTCTTTTTCTTGTTCTTTTTTTTTTGGGTGTTTTTTTAATTGATTTTTTGTTTTTTGTTGGATGGTTTGTGTAGCTGTTGTTTTCTTGCATTGACGCTACACTAAATTTGGAATTTTTTTTAAGTAGTGAATTTTTTCGGGATTGTGTGGGCTTTGTTTAAAAAGATTTTAATTGAATATTGTGAGTTTTGATGATTGTAAAAATGTATTGCACATTTTATTCGGTTCCTGAAAGTATGGAAGTCAATGTTTGCAACATTTTGGTAGATATTTCAAATATTAGAAGGTGCATGAAATTAGGATTTCTGGGGTCAAATTTCGGTAATCCAATGTCATTAATATAAGGCTGATGGATGTACATTTATACTGGGTGAAAATGAACATATGTCCAGATGTATCACAATTATATATTTCAAGTTGGAATGGACAGTGGGCTTTTTGTTGGTAAGTGCTCGTGCTGTGGGATGTTATTTAGTTTAGAGACTGCAATGAGTCAAGGATCAGGGACATACATCTATGCTTTGGTGAACATGCACATGTTGTTTGAAAGTTATTTTGTGTAAAAATGGCAAGTTGGAGACGACAATTCTGTTTCGTGATAGGTGCTTATGTCATCAATCATGTCCTTTATACATGAGAATTTGTACATGTGAATGTTAATTAATGTGATGTGCTGCTTTTCAGGATATGTATGCATGTTTTGGTTAAATGCTTTTCTGAAAGCTAATAGGATTCTTGGTGTTGTATGCAGCTTACAAAACACAGGTTTCTCGTAATGAAAACCTCGCTAAACTCCAAGCTGGTTATTTGTTTCCAGAGGTCTGTCTCAATGCACTCATTCTCTCTCTCAACTTTTGGGACTTCATATGGTGCATTACTCTTGTTCTGCTTACTATTAATGCATTTTTATTGTCCTCAAAACAGCAATTAATTTTTCTGATATATGCTTGGTAGCATATTATTTTTATGGTCCAGTCTCAGATGGAAGTGTCTGGACACAAATGCAGATATGTGTGTGTACATGTAAATGTATATGTACGTATATGTGTGTTTGTGTGTGTGTATATTATATAGAACATACTAGGATGAGACAAAAGAGATTGACTTAGAGAATCAGTGTCATATACTTTTCGTTTTGAATGCATAAGTTGATATATGATACCTTTTTTTTCTTAGTTTGAACTTTGTTGCTAGTGAACACTTTTTTGTCATTAGTCTTGGTGTAATGAAAGAATATGGATTGTGATTTTTTTTTTGGGAATCAGATTGCTAGAAGGAGGCTGCACATTTGTTAAAGTACCCTGATGCCCACGTGATCAGCCTTGGATTGGTGACACCACAGAGCCCATTCCACAAGTGATAACAACAGCCATGGCTGAGGTACCACTATTAATACTAAAGTGAATTCTCATCAATTTAGAAGAGCAATTTTCGCATTTCTAAGTTCGTGGACTTTCATACCAAGTCAAACATAAGTTGTTTGATTGTTGGATGGTAGTCTAATTTTATATTATATCTGCCGATTTAGAGACTGCTGGAAAAGCAATACTTTCTCTCTTTTGGTGGGAATATTTTGGAACCTGTTGAAATGGGACATTGTTTAACGTACCATATGCCCCTAATCTAAGTTGGAGTTGGTGAATGAATTGCAGTATGCTGGGTTTCTATGTATGATGATTTTACATATTTGCACCTCGCAGTTGCATTTTAATTCCTTTATCATTAGTGGTGGTGATAGGTCAGTAATTCGATAGTTATGGCCCTTTTAACTTCCTCCCCCTCGTTACCTCATCTTAGATACTATTGCACAAGGGCAATCTCATGGTATAAATATTTTTAATTTCAAAATTGCCATCGACGGTGTTCTCTGTTAGGCTGGTCCAGGGTTTGTGTTGATTGAAATATCCTGTGATCAAAGTTGATTTTGGCTTTTCTGTTTTCCCATTATTACAGAGGTCACGTGCATTGTCAACAGTTAAAGGTTATAGTGGTTATGGAGCTGAACAAGGTGAAAAAGTATGTTAAGATCTTCTCCATCTACTTGTCAATTTCGATATGCTGCAGTTTTGATCTGCCAGGAACTTTATCTCACTGTTAGACATGTTTCTTAATCTCTTCAATTCCTTTCTCACTTATCACGAAGCTGGTGAAATAGATTCTGTGTATTTTCTCATATCATTGTATAGTCTTGTGATAATGCCAACCAATGAAAGAGAATAACCATGGGATGAAATATTACATCCCCAGAATTTAAATATTTCATAGAGAATGTACTCTTGTAATACTTCCACACATTATTTTCTCTTGTAGTTATAATGTAGAGGAATGATGATGTTTTCCAAAAGAGAAAGATTAATGCTTGTATTGTTGACTTGTGCAGCCATTGAGAGCTGCAATTGCTTCAAATTTTTATGCAGATGTTGGCATTGAGGAAGACGACATATTTGTGTCAGATGGTGCAAAAAGTGATATATCTCGTCTCCAGGTTTGGCTGTTTGATCCACATTCTTTTTTTGTATATTTTGAAATTTTTATTTTTCTGTCTGAATGGAATTTGTCATGTCGGATGATGTTATAATTTAATTTAGTCTGGCTTCTTTTCTGCAGGTCCTTTTTGGGTCTAAGGTTACCATGGCTGTCCAAGACCCATCATACCCGGTAATGTTTTTAAAAAAATGGTTCACAAAATACAAAAGAAAATGGTTCTCCTTTTGCAGCAGTAGTAAATGGTCCTATTTTTCTTCAAGATTTAACATTCTTTGACAACTTTAATCAGAGATGATCTGGCTTGGTCAATGCGGAAAGTGGTCTTGCTTTCTTTTATTTTCTTTGAAAGTCATTTGCTTCCTGTGTAGTTGACCATCTTTAGATGACTTTAAAGTATATTTTTAGTTTCAAAACATTAGATCTCAAGTTAAATCTGACAGGTACATTTCACTATAGATTTTGTTATGTCGCAGTGAGGTCCTTGCCAACATAATACCTCCCTTGTTTTTGGGCATAGATTTGTGATGCTTACGTAGAATATGTAGCATTAAACAAAGGCAGCGAACAAATCAACAAATAAGATGAAGAAATAAAACAAAGGGAAATGATTCTTAACAACAGAGAATGCATGGCTGTTTTGTGCAAGTGTCTTAGAATTTGTCAAGTGGTTATGGCTGATTTTTAATCTGAATCTGGAAGTGGTTAGCTGATTATGGGAAGCAGAAAGCTTAAACCACAAACCACTTTGAACTAGGAAACTTTTGCTTTTATTCGGAGGTTTATATTCTTATCTTTGTTTCTGCTCCAGGCCTATGTGGATTCAAGTGTTATTATGGGCCAAACTGGACAATTTCAAAAGGATGTTGAGAAGTACGGAAAGATCGAGTACATGAGGTGCAATCCAGAAAATGGTTTCTTTCCTGATTTGTCCAAGGTTTTTCGCACAGACATCATATTTTTTTGTTCGCCAAACAATCCAACTGGTTCTGCTGCATCAAGGGAGCAACTAATTAAATTGGTACAGTTCGCAAAGGACAACGGATCCATCATAGTTTATGATTCTGCATATGCGATGTATGTCTCTGAAACAAACCACGATCCATTTTTGAGATTCCTGGAGCTAAAGAAGTAAGTAGAGAATAAGTGGCTAAAGTTTGCATCTCTACTTAAAATGCACAGTATCTGAAGTATTGCACTTGCAGGTTGCAATTGAAGTTTCCTCGTTCTCCAAATATGCTGGTTTCACTGGAGTACGTTTAGGATGGACTGTTATTCCTAAAGAGCTCTTATATTCGGATGGGTTTCCTGTGGCCAAGGACTTTAACCGCATTGTATGTACTGCTTTCAATGGTGCTTCCAACATTGCTCAAGCTGGTGGTTTGGCATGCCTTTCACCTGAAGGCATCAAGGTCAGTTTGATCTTTCTCGTTCAATCATTATTAGATAGATGATAGGAGACACAAAAATGCTGCAATAACATGAAATTAAAATGGAATCCCCAACTGTGGGAAAAAAGAAGGAAGCAATTTAGAAAAGTTGCTTTCTAGTTTTCTTCCTTGGTCACTTTCAGAGACGATAATACTATCCTGCTTTCCCTAATTGACAAACTTCTGGTATATTCAGGCCATGCAAGATGTGGTTGGTTTCTACAAGGAAAATACTCAGATCATAATGGACACGTTCAATTCCCTTGGATTTAAGGTTTATGGAGGGACAAATGCCCCATATGTCTGGGTACATTTTCCTGGACAAAGTTCCTGGGACGTATTCAATGAAATTCTGGAGAAAACCCATGTAGTGACTACTCCAGGTAGTGGATTTGGACCTGGTGGTGAAGGTTTCATTAGGGTGAGTGCCTTTGGAAACAGGAACAATGTATTGGAAGCCTGTAGCAGATTCAAGCAGCTTTACAAGTGAGAATTATTTGTTTGTGTTTCTGCTTGATCTGTAACGGTGTGAAGTAGACTATAAATTGTTGAGCTTTCATTTCTCTCTCATTCGTGAGATAGATAAAAGCTAAAGAAATGAGCCCTTTTCATTTTCTCCTAAACTTTCAAGTATCAAGAACGAATTTTTCCTTCCTGTTGTTCTGTAAACAGTCGTCTATTCTTTCTCCCTACCCTAGGGGGCGCCCTCCTCCCTCCTCTCTTTTGACTCAGAGAAATATAAATAATCAAGGAATTAGCTTTGATCGTCACTTTGCACTTGAGACACATTATTATAACGAATTCTTGAAGGTTACTTCACCATGAGGTCACATCCAACATATGTATGGGAACTAGATTTTGTTTGGAAAATTTCAAGTATCCTTGCCATAACAGGAGCTTTTGTTGCTTTAACATTTTATATATGCTGCGTTTTTTAACTAGACAAGAATTTGAGTAGTAGAATCCAAAATTGGCTATGCAGCTTTTTCTTGGTGAAATCGTTCCATTGTTCATGGTTGACAGTGCTGATGTAAGTGGTACCTTTCAAATAGAGGTGTCAAAATGGGTGACTTGAGTGAATTTGGATTGGTTAAAATGGATAATAGGTATAAGTGAGCTAACTCATTTATATCCATTTAATTAGATGGGTGTAAATGGTTAAGTCAATAAATAAATGAATTGGGTAACTCAATTACTTATTTATAATCCATTTATTTTAACTTTTGGTAAACTCATTTAAATTCATTTTTACAAACTAAGTTATCAATTTATATCACCCTTTGCAACCATTATTAGTTTTAAATATTTACTTATAATGCTCAATAATTCTAATTGCCAATGCATTCATACTTTATGTCATAAAATTACATACTATTTAATAATTGAACAATAAAAATATAAAAATTGGAACGAAATACTATAAAAGTTAACATAAAAACTTAATTCAAAAATTTTGAAATCCTAGCATTTTTTTTGTATGTAAATTAAATTTTATTTTGGAAAGGTAGGAAAAGAGGCTAAAACTTTTCATAAATTAGTAATGCTGAAAAATGAGCAAGTTAACAAACTAAGAGAAAATAAAATGATAGAATAAAACTAACAAATCATAATAATAACGAAGCAAAAGTAGTTAATATCATGACAAAATGAAAAATCTGAAAAAAAAAAAAAAAAGTGGAGGAAGAGAGGAGGTTTGGAGGAAGACAATTTTAAATGAATTAATGGGTAACTCATTTTTACCCATATGTAAAAACTTAAGATATCCATATTCATCTATTCATGGACAGATATGGATAAATTTATTTAAAATTTTAAAAATATCTTAAAATATATTCTAGAAACTCTTTTACTTTTAAATATTCCAAAATATTTTCTAAAAATATCCCAAACTTTCCAATTTGATTACGCCACGGAAAAGATCTTCTGTATCTCAACGCACATTAATGAGTGTGTTTGGACAGGAGATTATTTGTCCAAATTTATTTATTTACATCACTATTACAATTTTTAATATACATTTTTTATCTTCACAATTATCTTTTTATCTCATATACAGCACATCACAAAAAGTTTTATAGTAATTATTTCAAATAATCTCCTGTCCAAACAAGGGCGGATTTACAGTGGGGCACTGGGGGCACGGGCCCCACTGCCCTCCTTAAATTCCTCTAATACTCCTATAATTTTGATATAATTTTAATGGTGCCCCCAGAATTTTTAAAAAAAAAAATGAAAGAATGGGTCACAAAATTTATATCATTCACTTTCTTCCTCTAAGGACCAAATATCAATTATATCAGTCATTACTTTTGGTCCCCACTCTCCAAGTTCCCTTTACTCCTGTCCCCCATTTCACTTCACAACCCACGACTCCTCTTCTTCCACACCCAACTAACTACTCTTTCTTTTTATTACTTCATCCAATCATCATTAATCATTTACTTCCTTTGTCCCCATTCCCCAATTTTCTTTTCCTCTTTTGCCTCTTGGTTGTCCCCACTGAAAATGGTCTCTCCCATCAAATAGTCCGATCCTGGTTTTCCTGTCATGAAAATGGTGTTGTTGACTACTTCAAACAGTGTTCCATTAAAGGAGTAGGCTTTTTGAAAACCAAGACCTACTTTCTTCAGTTCAACCGCAAGAAACCAGTCCTTGAAGATGACTTCTTTCCAATTAAATAACGTGATACGGGGCACAAAGGAAGTAAAGGGACCCGAGTCTGCCACAGTGCCACTGATTTGCAATTCTTTTCACCAATTTTGGGAGACCATTGAAATCAGGTTTTAAACAATTACTTATTATTATTATTATTTTAAATTTGTTTGCAAATATATTTCTAGAGCATGAGATTATTACTGTTTTAGAGAAATTTGAAAATTGATTAGTTAATGTAATAACTAATAAATGGGTTATTTGATATTTGATAAATATTTTAACTTGTGAAATGGTGATTTTATAGATTTATAATTTATTTTTTATTTTCCATGATTAGTTTCTTATTTGGAGTTAATGTAATGATGAATAGAGGGCCATTTGACATATATTTTAACTTTTAAATTATTCTTATATGGATCCTTTTGTCTAATTAACTTGATTAGGTTCATATATTCTAATTAATGATTTGATATAGTAATGAATGAATAAGTTGTGATTTGATATAGTAATGATATGTTGTGATTAATGATTTAATAAATAATTTTAACTTGTAAAATAGTTTTTGGATAGATTATTAGATTTTATTGTACATTTAATATTTTAATTGGATTAGTATCTTATATATTGATTTTAATTTCTTTAGCTATGGAGAGATATTTCAAGAGGAAATCAATGGAAAAAGAGCCATCTAATAAAGAAGAAGCCAAGGATAATGAAGGTGCAAAAAATGACAATAAAAGAAGTTTTTAAATAAAATTATTATTACATTAATAATTTTGAGTTTGTCTTTTTATGTTTTTCATGGAATATACATATCAATTGTACTTGTTAGTGAATTTATTTAGTTTTTGCTCAAAAAATTAAAAAAAGAGTAGATAAAAAATTTTAGTATTATTTGTGCCCCACTAAGATTTTTTTCTGGCTCTGCCCCTGTGTCCAAACACACTCAATTGTTTTTCTTCTTTCTTTGCGTAGGGGGAATCTGTATCTTACTTCTGAAGAATCAAGAATTCATGTAGCAAAATCAAAAGCCCATGCGAAAGCGTTATCATTGAGGTTTCAAAAGTCGGCAGGATGCCGTGACTAGAAGTGGCAAAATGGATATATGGTTGATAAATGGTTTTAGTTAAATGGATTGTGGATCAAATTGATCCAATCCAATTAAAACCATTTAATAAATGGATCTAAATGGATGTCATTTAAATGGATAGTGTAAACCATGATCCATCCATTTATCCATTTACTCTCCCAAATCCTAAATTTAAGATCAAAATGTTTTTTTTCCAAAAAATACATATCCCCAAAGTTCTATCCTTGAATCACCTAAAACCTTTTGGTAATAACAAATGCTTGTACTACTACTCTATTTCAGTTCTTCATAAAATTAGTTTAATTCCAAGAAAATTTAACTGTTGTGGTCAATTTAACCTTTCGTCATTACTTTAAGTATCATTTTGTAAAGTAATGAACAATTAAGAACTTGGCCATATTTTTATAACTTTTGAATGAATTGAATACGGCTTTACAGTGAAAAAAAGTTTACGTTTCCAATTTTTTGCACTCCTGTTCAAGAGTGATGTCTTGAATAAAAGTGGAGTTCTAATAAGAAATCTTATGTTATTTGACAAGTAAAATATTTGCATCACATGTGCACGTAGTACCTAAAAATGTATGAAACTCCTTATTATACCATTGATATACCAGCTACCTTATATTACTTAGTAAATTAGGTGTCTTTTGTTTTTTGGATAGTTGAGTTGGGTGATAAGGGAGAGGGATTGCAAGTATGAGGATTTGGGAAAAAAAAAAATGTCATTTACATATCTTAACCAATGTTGCGGGGACACTCGTTAGAAATTTTTTTTTTATAAATAAAAGAATTAAAAAAATAAAAATTATTTTGACACTGCATGATGCATTCTCGCTTTTTCTTTACTTAAGAATATAAATGTTTGCAATCATTACTACATGAGAGTTTAATTAAAAAATAAGAGTAGAGACTAAAATATAATTTTGAAAAGGATGGAAGAAGTCTGGGAACTAGAAGCAAATAAAATGCAATTAATGTTATTGGCAACTTGGCATGCGAGGAAGTTATGAAAGAAAGAATAGGTGGTCCACAAAATTAATTTGACATATGATAAAGTTATGAAGAAAAGAATAGATGGTCCCACAACATTTTATCTCACATTCTTATAAATGTGTTTCTTTTTTTAAGTTAAATGGATGTATATGGATAAGATGGATAATCCATTTAAATCCACTAACATAATTGGATTTAAATGGTTATCCATTTAAAACCATTGAATTTATATGGATCATCCAAATCCATTTAAGGTTGGTTTATATGGATGGATTAGTGGATATGAATCCATTTTGCCACTTCTAGCCGTGACTCATTTAGCATACGTCTCTCAAACCATCCATTTCAGTACCGTCACATTGGAAAACAACGGCCAGCCAGTTTATTCAGTATACAATATGACTAATCAAGCATGTGGCATTAACAACTAGATAAAATAAGGATTAATTTTTTTATTTATTTACTGTCATCAGTGTAATATATTTTTAACATTAATAGGTATAGATATATGTCATCTATACAAAAAGTGAATTTCAAATTTAAATTTGAATTATGTGATTTGCGTCTATACTATATACTGATAGAAAATGTTTAATAATAGTCGAGACAAAACTAGTTGACCATCTCCTTTTCTCAGTTTCGTACAAAACAAGAAAATATATAATAATAGTCAAGACAAAATTAGCTGACTATCTCCTTTTCTCAATTTCATTTAAAATAAGGACTTTAATAAACAAGTCATTGAAATGTCAATCCATCACAATCTAATCAATTATCCATTTTGTCACCTCTATTCATCAGCAATGAAAATGATGTCCAAAGATCATTTCGCAGTCAGTTTCAATCACGATTGACTTGAAATTAATTGGAAGATACTCATAACGAAATTAACGAGTCTCGCGACAATAGCACCATGAGCGGTGGCTCGCGACCAATCACTGTGTGCATGCCACCAAAGGTTCCTTCCTCTTCAGAAAATATGACTTTTGGCTAAATTTGTTTGCCTGGTTTAATTGGACATTGTGTCACATA